ATGTAATGGTTCGTAGAGCGTGATTCACCGCTGCTGTGTTTGGTCACAACAAAGAGTTTCGGTAGGGACCTGGCTGTACGACCTGGAGCACGTGTTACAGTACCGATTCGTGCGCTTTTTCGTCTCGCGGAACGCGTATGGACCCCACCCCACCCCTCCCCCGCCCGCAGATGCTGGAGCGCATGGAAAACCCCGACCCTGCTGACGAAGGGGTGGACCCGCGGCACATGTGCCTGGTTGTGTTTCTGTGCGAGGGGGGGCACCACGTTACCGACTGGGTGGCCCCCGGGAGCATGCGCCCTTACCTGCGGCACGCCGCGGCCTACCCCTACAAGAAGAAGGCGTACGCGGGGACTGCTCGCCTGCAGGTGAGCTACGGTATCGCTTGGAAGCGGAGGAGGGGGGTGAAATTCTTTCCGAGGATGCCTAGGTAGACGTTAGACCTTTGACCTCGAAGTCAGGGGGGTGCCCGGAGGGGTGGTTTTCGTGTGTAGGTCGTGGGTGGGTGTTGCTGTTGCTGTACATTGCAGGCGTGAAAGGCTCTTGACAGGTACCGTACACGCGCGCACCTTTTAGGGATGTTGAGTTTTCCCGCTGGCACTGGGTCAGCCAGTTAGCGCGGTCGATGATAATATGAAGACACAGGGAGAAGGAGGGGGGGGGGGGGGGGGGNGGGGGGGGGGGGGGGGGGGGGGGGGGGGGCTCTTGTGTTAGTGCTGTGTCTGTTGCTGTGCGTTTGCGTTGTTGTTTGTGTTGTTGTTGTTATCGGGGATAGGGAAATCGTGTTTTGGCATGGACGGAAGGAACGATGCTCCGTCATCTCGAGGACACTTGAGTGGTCAATGGTCTACTAACAGCTATGGCATGCAAAGCGTGAGTACCCCCCCCCCCTCGATCCTCACCGATACCTCGCGAGGCTTCGCGCTTGGTGATGCGAGAGACTGGTCCAGTGAGAACCCGGCGTGCTCCGTCCCGGCTTTTGTGGGGATACGAGGTCAATGGTCTAACAGCTACGGCATGACACCCCATCCTCTCGATCCTTTGCCGCTGGTTCGGTCGTTCTTTCTCCGTGCGCCGTACAGCCCGACTTCACCGCGGCGGAGGCCTGGGGCGAGGAGATGAAAGCCCTCGTGACCGCACGAAGGGCAGAGGCTAGGACCCTTCGTCGCCAGCGCGCGAAAGAGGAACAGAAGGGAGGGGCGACGACGACCAAGCCGGCACTTGCGATCGAGGCGTCGCTGCCCGCAGCCGCCGCCGCCGCCGCCGCCGCCGCCAAAGACGGCTCGGTGGGTAAGGTAGAGAGCGGCACTGGGGCTCCTGCGGCCGGCGGGAAGAGGGGCGAGCCGGCGGCGACGGTGGTAGCGGTGTCAGGGGTCAAGCCCGAAGCGCTTCTCCCTGAGAAAGATCAGACGGCGGCGGCGGCGGCGACGGCGGCGACGGCGGCGGGGCCTAAGGGAGCAGGGGGAGCATCGGGAACTTCGCCGATGGATGTGGACGGCGGCGGAGCGGTCGACAAGGCTGCGGCCCTATCCGTCGGTGCCGGTGATGCCGGTGGTGCCGTTGGTGCCGACACTGCACCGTCCGCAAGGCCGTCGGCGTCGTCGTCGGCAACATCCCCGTCGTTACCGAAGACACCGGCGGCAGCGGCGGCAAAGTCGGAGAGTTCTGTTTCCGAGCGATCGGAGTCGGAAGGTTGTTCGGAAGAAGAATCAGAAGGAGGAGGAGGAGGAAAGGGCTCTGCCGTGCTGTCGAAGGCGGCGGTAGCGGCGACGGCGGCGGCGGGTCCGACAGACAAGGAACGGGCGCCGGAGGGAGTTGATGCCTTCCCTTCTGGGAAGCACGAGGCCGTAGCCTCGCCCGCCGTCGCCAGCAGCCGCGGCAGCAGCGGAGGCGGTAGCAACGGCCAGGGTGATGGTGGCGGGGCTGCAGGCACGGACGACAGACGAAGGGAGGCGACAGCCGGGACGAACAAGCGGGAGAGGGAGGCGGAAACGGCGGGGGGCGGGGCCACCGTAGAATCGGACGAGGAAGGAGACGGGGGAGGGAAGGTTGAGGAGGGGCACCGCGCGAAGAGGTGAGCACGTCACGTCGTCCCTTTGTTTGTTGTGCTTGCCTGAGCCTGACTGTTTCTGTGGCGCGTAGTGTACGTACGATGGCTACGATCAAATGCCAACATTGCAAGCAGGGGGGAAGGGGGAGAGATTCGGCTTTGTTCTCTCGGAAGGTGTTGTTGATGGGGGAGGGCGGCGTCTCCTCTGGTTCGTTTTTACGTACCGTCTCAGCAGGGCCCCTTTTGCCGTGCAGCAGGGCATGGCGGGTCTTGCAAACAATTTTTCGCTACAAGAACGAGGGAACAGGCGTGTTGCTCGTCCGGTGTTGTATCGCTCTGCTGCTGTGGGGACGGATCATGTTCAGTAGCAGCGGGCGTGTGCTAGGCAGCAGGCTCTATTTGCTTAAAACACAGCAGCAGCAAGTGAGTGCCGCTTCCCCCCTCTTTTTGGTCGTTCGACACTCGACTGATTCGTTGTACTCCTCCTCCTCCTCCATCGGCTAACGTCGTCCGCTGCCGTCCCTTCCTTTTCCTCCCTCGGAAAAAAAATCGTTTGTACTTTTTTCCGAATCCACAGGCTTGCCGTAGAGGGCAAGACGAAGTCTCTCGGTGCTGCAACGCCCGCTATCGCTGCCGCGGAGAAGGCCGCGTCGGCAGCGGTGCGGCCGAAGGCGGCGGCGACGACAACACCAACAACGTCCCCCGCGTCTTCTGCGGGGCGGGGCTCAGTGCCGCCCAAGTCAGACCCAGCGCCGGCGTCTTCGCGAGAGGAGGAACACCCGGCGGCGGCGGCGGCGGCGGCGGCGGTGGCAGCAGCAGCATTAGCAACAGGTGGTGCGGACGGAGAGTCGGTGCCTGGTGCTGTAGCTGACTCTGAATCATCATCATCACCGTCTGCTGCGGCCGCGGCTGCTACGGGAGCGGGCTCGGGCTCGAAAGCCGGCGGAGACGCGCGAGCAGGAGCACCGGCCGAGGACAGGGCCAATGATGCCATGGACGACGAGGAGGAACGGGACCCGCGGCTGGCAGGCGACGACAGCAGTAGCGTCGCAACCGGGGCTTCAGCAGAACGGGCGCCGGGTGATTCTTCGCTAGGAGGGGACCCGTCGAGCGACCTTGAGACCTCGTCGTCGCCTGCTTCGCTGGCGAAGGCCGTGGCAGCGGCAGGAGGCGTCGAAGAAGACGTGCTGGATGACGTGGTTTCTGGCGCTGCGGTCAGCGGCGGCGGCGACAAAGGCTCGGCCCCTGCGGACGAAGTTGGGACCGAGACGACTACCGCCGTCGACGGCGTTCCACCTTTTCCCCCTTGTCCCTCTTCTCCTGCTGCCACCGCCGACGATACTGGAGTCTCTGCCGGAGCCGCGTCGGCTCTCCCCATCGCCACTACCGCCGAAACCACTAGCCCGACCACGACACCAGCTACTCCTCCGCCGAGAGCCGTGGCCGCAAAGCTTGGCGGCGCCGCGGGGGCTGAGGCTGCCGCCGCCACCGAGCCGATGGAGATGGAGACTTATGGAACCCAGGGTGATGAGGAGGAGGAGGAGAGGGAGCGGCGGCGAGGTCGCGACCCCCCGGTGTCCCCGCAGCTAGTCACCGCTGACTCGGTCCCCGAGCGGCCACCGACGGCAAGCACGGGCGGCGGCGGCGCACCACGCCCCCGGATGATGCGGGATGGCGACGGCGGCGACGGCGGCGACGATGGCGGCGGTAACTCGGCCGCCTCGGCTCGGGAGCCGTCGCCCCCCCAGCGGACCGCTTCTTCTCCTCCTTTCCCTCCGAGTGGTGCGACGGCGGTTGCCGCCGCGGCCGCCGCCGCTGCCGCCGCCCCCGTAGGCGTTCGCGTGGAAAGGAGGCCGACGTCGCCGGCGACGGTTTCTCGCCCGAAAGGGCCGGATAGTCCCGGCGGGGTAAACGCCTCTGCTCGCGGTGGAGGCGGCGGTGGTGACGGGGCAGCGCATGCGGCTCTCCCTGCCCGAACCTCGGGCTACGTCCCTCCCCCCGGAGCTTTCGGGGGTTACAAGTTCAATATGAACCCGTGAGTCAGTCCTTCTGTTCCGTGGGGAAGAAGTCCGGGGCAGGGGGTTGAGTGTTTCCGAAACGTAGACTCTCACCGTTCTTGTGTTGTTCTTGTGATGTAGTCGTTGTCGATATTTCTGTCTATGTGCGTCTGCCTCCTGGATGGGCGTTGGCTTGCGAGGCACGACGGCAGTGAATCAGTTGCCGGTTATTGACCTTATCCCGGCGTAAGGCCGTGTGCCTTACTCCTCGCATTCGCAACGATGCATTTGAGGGGTGGTCCGTTTCCTAACCTGCTTTGACTGTATGTACCCGTCGTGCTCGTTATTTTGTCGCTACACCCCACGGTGCCCCCCC